TTATATTGGAAGAACTAAGTGTGTTTTGCACCATGGGCAGCAATTTTTTTTTTTGTCATCAGCTTTAACAGATTTATATTGACTCCGTGAACCAAACTGTTGTATTTGCATCTATGTGAACGACAAAGAACGGTTGTTTCCTGGCACTTCGTGCTAGATTATCCGCTTGTGTATTATGTGTTCTTGGTATATTGGTGACCTCTGAGCCGTGGAAACTCTCCTTAAGCTTCTTGATATCTTCCATATAAGCTGCAAAAGCTGGTCATTCATCTCGTTCTGAAACCATCTTCACTAGATGAGAACAATCCATTGCAAAACTGACATAAAATTGATATAAGTTCCTCATACTTTTCATTACCCAAATTAAAGCTTCTAGCTCAGAATGTAAAGGAGAGAGACTGGCCCTAACGTTTCTTGCCCCCATCAAACCTACAAAACCTTCAAGTGTACTATACCAGTCATATCCAGAAAAGGTTTCATTCTCTTTCCACGATCCATCCGTAAAGCACCAGCATCCTGGTATAGATGATAGACTCATAACTTCTCCTTATGAAAATGGTCGTTGAGGTTGTATTAGTTGGGCCTCAGCCCAAAGAGCTGCTTCTGTCTCCGTGACTTTAAGCGGGGGGTCAGTATCCAGGTTACTAAAGGTTTTACTATTTTTTGCTTTCCAAATGTACCACAGTATCCATGCAAAGTGATGATCATCCATCTTTGGAATAACTACCAAAATAAGTGATTCATATTTGTGAAAAAAGAACCTGTAGAAAAAATCACTAAATCCATGGGCAGCAATTAATTGTTAAATTTAAATTATATTTGAAGTAAAATTTTGTTAATATCTTAAAATTCTATTATTTTATATCATGATTTAATATAAATTTTCATTTAATTAAACATAAAATTAAGATAAATAACAATTTGATTTATTTAAATTATATATTTAAAAATAGATATGTGTATATTTAAAATTATAATCGTATAGATTTTCATTTATTTATTAGGGTTAAGCAATATTAAATTAACTTAAATTATATTAACTTCAATTAACTTAAATTAACTTAAATAAAATTAAAAAAAATATGTCAATTATTTTTATAATTATCAACAAATAAAACTGAGCCAAATTTCTAAAATTTGTAGATACTAAAAAGAATAAATAATATTGCTTAAAATACATTTAAAATATAAAACTTTTTTAAATAAAAAATTATATAATTTTAAAATAGATTAAAATAATATTAGACGCTAGTCGGATCTCTCTCGGGGGCATCCAGATACCAGGGTCATCAAAAAAAAAAAAAAATTTGTAAAAAAAATTATATTTATATCACTGAATGTTATATTTAAATATATTTACCACTACTGATGATATATGTTTTATTATTGATTATCTGTGTTACATTTTATCTTAAACCATGTTATTTTTTTAATATATCATGTCGCACTTTCTAGTGAAAGTAATTTTATTAATGATACATAGTAAGTCATTTTTCAGATAATATCTAGTGGATGAAAAAGATAAAGTTTATAAAAACAGAAAAAGGAAACTCAGAAAGGTTTTGTCGAAAATTAGGGATAACTTGTGAATTGAGGTACAACTTAACGATTTAACAATTTTAGAGAAGTGCCACTCAATCAAAGCCAACAAAAGAAGAATATGTGATAGTGTTATGTGGATATAGCTTGAAGAGAATAAAATATTTTATGGATCATGAATGGTTTTGCAGTTGTTGAACAAAAAAAAAGAATGGTTTTGCAGCACATGAAGCTCAATCAAAATGATGGGATCATGAATATCCAACAGAAATTAATCATATCTATATGCAGAATTTAAAATTTTGATTTAGACAATACATAAAAAATTTTAGAATAATGTTTGCAACAAACTGTTTTTAATTAATGATGAAGATGATATTTTATACCGACAGAATTTCGAGCTTCCACTTCCTACTTAGAAGAATTCAACGTTGTAACTAGTCTTTTCTAACTTTATAATCATATTCACATAAAAAAAGAAGCACAATAACTAACGATATTACATGAAGTGCTCATAGTTCTCTTTTTACTATGATTTATGTTGCTTTTGTACATCGATTTGGTTCTCTAAATCGGCATCTAATTTGAATTTAGATAATGTTGGGCATATATATACTTTTTATCACAACAGTTTAGTTTACCAATGAAAATATTCTACTAATAATAAATAGCTGATAAAATATTAATTAATCAGGAAAAACTTTAATTTAGTAACATATTAATAATATTTCTATGTAACATTTGATGTTTTCGAATTCGAAAAGGAAAAATACAACTCTAACTACAGGAAATATAGAGTAAAGTCCACAAATCAAAGTAGTTTTGTAGTTGGAAATGCGCTGAGGATCAATTATTGTTGGAAAACTGTAAAATATTTCAAAAAGTCAAGTCAGCAGCAAAGAGAACACATCCCCTATATATTAAAAGAGAAGCATTACAACATTGTTTTGTAGCCACGTGTCATCACCACAATCATTTTTAGAATCCTTAGAAAAATATGTTGGTCTATCTAAATATATAATAAGCTTTTTATTAAACTAATCATAAATGACTTATTAATTTTTTTTCATTATTTCCTTAAATAAAAAATAACGGAATTGCCAAATATGATTAAAGAATATATGACATTTAATGATTTTCAATAATACAAATTTGATAAAAAATAGTGTAACTTTTAAATTTTAATATACTAAAATAAATTAAACAACCACTTTAACTATATAATAAAAATTTATATTTTTTTCGTCTATGCTATACTTTGAATTTTTTAAAATCACTATAAATGACTAAAGTTGTTAAAAAGTCTCCCCAAAATTTTTGTGATCCATGGTTAAATTTTTATAACAAAATAGAAATGATTACAAAATTATATAAGTAAAAATGTCTCATTTAATATATATATATATATATATATATATATATTGTTCAAAATAAATTATGTACCATATAATATATATATATATATATATGTATATGTATTTTAGTTTCTAATGTGCTTTGATTTCTTTTGATAAAAATTTTGAATAAAATATTGAAAACTTAATATTTAGTTTTAAACTTTGCATATTGTTTTAAAATTATAAATTACTAAAAATGGTAAACATCCCACACAAAAAAAAATTGTTATCAGTGATTTAAAAATTTTATTATAAAAATATAAAAATGAAAAAAAAATAACATGAGTATAAACTATAATTTAACGAATATCAATATTAAAAATGTAATATATTTCTACGATAATATCATTTAAAGAATATATGACAATTAATGATTTTTAATAATAAAGATTTGATTAAAATTAGTGTAACTTTAAAATTTGAACTTATTAAAATAAATTAAACAATTACGTTAACTATATAATAACTATATAATAAAAATTTATATTTTTCGTATTTGCTATACTTTGAATTTTTTAAAACGACAATAAATGACTAAAGTTGTTAAAAAATCTCACATAAAAATTTTGTGATCCATGGTTAAACTTTATAGAAAATAGAAATGATTAAAAAATTATATAAGTAAAAAGTCTCATTTAATATATATATATATATATATATATATTGTTCAATATAAATTATGTACCATATAAAAATATATATGTATCTTAATTATACTTTGCTTTGATTTTTATTGATAAAACTTTTGAACAAATATTGACAACTTAATATTTAGTTTTAAACTTTGCATAATTTTTAAAAATTAAAAATTAATAAAAAATGATAAACATCCCACACAAAAAAATTGTTATCAGTGATTTAAAATTTTTGTAATAAAAATATAAGAGTGAACAAAAAAATAATATGAGTATAAACTATAATTTAACCGATATCAATATTAAAATGTATTATATTTCTATGATAATACATTTAAACTTAATTGTATATCATATAAAATAGAAAAAATCTGTTTAAATTAATAAAAAATATTTATATGTTTACAGCAATTTAATTATATACGTAATAGTTACTAAATTTTTAATTATCAATATATCCCTTATATATTAAAATAGAACCATTGTAATAAATGCGTTCACACCATAATTGACACGTGTCGGCTTCACAATCATTTGACAATTGATGCGTTTACACACTAATTCTTTAAATTCATTATTTAATGTATTTACACACTATTTTTTATTAATTTATTTTTCTTACTTTTTTAGCTTTTGTATTAATAAATTAAAACTTTCTACGTGAAACTAATGACTACTATCTTTATTATAAAAAAAAATACAAAATCATTAAAATTCGCATCAACTAAAGTGTTGTGATGAAAATGTTTTTAGATATTGAAACTTTCGTACCTTGCCGAAGTTAGTCATGGATGAGGCTTCGATACACAATAACAACAAATAAGGTGACTGATTATGAATTAAAGAAGCTGAGGTGAAAAACACCACACGTAAAGTCGGATCTTTAATTTATTCAAAATATTAACATTTTTATAAAGTGTTCATATCAGACCAAGAATTAGAAACAAAATCAAATTGGTAAAAAAAATAATCAGAAATCAGAAAAGTTTTAAAAAGAAATAAAAATCACAAAATCGATTAAAAACATAATTGAGGTACCAAGTGAAGATGTCACTTTATAATATATTTTATTTTTATTTTCAAGGCTACAATTTGATTTTCTTCATATGAAAAATGTTATTAATTTCTAGGTTTGTTTTTTTTTTACTTAATTTTATTTAAAAAATTACTATCATATGTTATTTTGAACAATAAAGTTTTAAATCTTAATTAACGGTATATTCATATATTTATCATAACATTTATATACTTTTACATATACATACATATACACATTAACATGAGCGACTATATAACTAAATATTCACCACAAGTGAGAATTTTAATTCATATTGAAGTTGAATTTTTTTTAATGTTTTCTTTTAATATCGCTCAAATTTTAGTAAAATGTGTTTATGTTAATAATTTTGTTTTCTTTTTTTTTCAAATATTATTTAGATTTTATTTTATTTTAAATGCCTTTAGAAATTATAATAGGAAACTATTAGTTCGACATAAAAAATATCTAAAATTTATATAAAACGAAACCAAACAAACAACAATAGTTTTTGGTTATCATCGAAAAAATCAAAAACATCAAACACTTACACCAAACAAACCAAAATAAATATAGATTTAGAATGATAGTTATATTTTAGGAGATTAAAAAAATAACCTAAAATTAAACTAATATTCATGCTAAAGAGACATAATATCATTTTATCATAAAAATAACAAAAGTAATAATCTCATTCCGCGCAAGGCGCGGGTTATTACCTAGTAATAATTAAAGAGAAGAAACGTATCAAGAATCCTTAGAAGAATAAAACCATCTTTGCGAAGGAAAACTTCAGCTCAAGAAAAATGTATTACATATAAAAGCAGTAGCAGATAGTTTGCTTAAGCAGTCTTAGGCTTTGGCTTGATACGCTTCACTCTGGAGTATAAGAACACTCCCGCTAGGGCAATCCCGGTTCCTACAGCAAAGTAAAGACGACAGTTTAGTGAGCTTCCAAAGATTGTGTAAGAGATGGGTTTTACAACAAAAAGAGACTGGATATTACCAAAGGCATTGACAGGCGAAACCGGTGTCTTGAAGAAGATGACAGAGCTCACAATGACCACCACACGCTTCACACAGTTTCCTACAGAATGTGTAACCGGTGATACTCTCGCCAATATCATGTACGACACCTGTATTTTCATCCCAAAAAAATAAATCAAATTCAAATATGCTCAAGTCAAGCACCAAAAATCAGTAAGAGAAAAAAACTTCACCTGCTGGTAAGCGTGGAAGCAGAGTGCAGCAATAAGAGACTTTGTGTAGATTTGTTGAACATTCACACCCTGAAACCAAGAGACTTTGTAAGGGACTGGTAAAATTTGTGGAGGATAGCTTATTGCAATATCTAAACAAAACTCACAGCTGATTGGATGTATGACGGAGTGAACTTGATTCCTTCGGAGAAGAAAGTCACAGGAGCCATCAGGAAGAGCGACATCAACGTTATTATAGAGAAGAGGGTGATGTTGTCCAAAGAATCCTGCATAGACGCAACATCAAGATCTGTATTTTCATTCACAATATGTTTGAGTCAATTTTAGGGAACTTACATCTTTCTTGACCATGACTTTTTTGCTAAGCACATTACGGGATTGGTTAGTCAAGTTTGAAGCCATTGCGCTCAAGAAACCAGCCCTGCCACAGAGAACAATTAAACCTAGTTAGTGTACTTGCAACTATTAGCAGAAGAATAGATATTTGACTATTCTCGAAGAAGCTTACCAGTTGAATGAGACCTCTGTCACTGAAGCAAGTGCAACTCCACCAACGATGGGAATAATGGAACCAATTATCCATGGAGTAGGCACCTAATAAGAAGGCAATAAATAAAATTAAGCTTTAACACTTAAAAAAAAAAGGAATGAGCATCAGAGACGAGCTCACCTCTCCGAGAAACATAGCAGACAAGACAACAGAGAAGAAAGGCTCCATGGCTTTAATGGTGTGAGTAAAGGAAACAGAGACTTTCCCAAGGCTCATGTTAGTGAAGAGATTACCAAGTGTGTGCACAACAGCAAGTGGCAAGATGGCAGCTAGCTATCAAGGTAAATCAAATATCCATGAGTAAATAAATATACCTGAAGAATAAGAGCTTCCAGGAAAAAGAAAACAAAAAGGGCACCTGAGCACCGGTGATCTTGGGCCTCTTGTAAAGGTTAAGAGCCCACATGAAGGTAATGAGCACACTACCGACGGCAAACTGAACTAATGTGACAGTCATTGGGGCGTGAAGAGCTTTCAAAACCTGCAGGAATCATGAAATAGATCTATCAATCACTGAAATGTTGGAACTAAACTTAAAAAGTGCAGAATAAACAAGCAAGGCATTAAAAAAGTCTACAGGAGCATAGAAACTAGTATTGGTTATCTCGTAATCAAAATCAGCAATCACAGGGACCAAACTCTCTCGAGTTTATTATGATGAGTGTAATATATAATCAAAATCTCAAATCAGAATCAAACAATACTATAAGAAATCAGAGCAAGCAGCGGGAAAAATCTCCCTCCAGATCATTCATCAAGCATATGAGAATCAGATAAAGTTATCTACAGGTTCCTAAAGAGGAATGAATCGAAGAGAGAGAGGTGTAGGATCTAGAATCCATACCTGTTTGTTGTAGATGTTGAAGTAGATATTGAAAAGGTACCAAAGCGCAAACAACAAGCCAAGCTCCAGGATCTTAGTCAGCTTCCCACTGCCTTCTCCTTCCTCAGCGTTCTCGGGGACCGCTGTAGCAGCAGTTTTGAAACGGTTAGTGTCGAGGGAAGGGGAGATGGAAGGGACGCCCGACCAGGCACGAAGAGGCGAATCGGAAGAGGCGAGACGCCAGGATCGACGGGGTAGAGGAGGAACAGAGACGACATTTGGAGGAGAGACGTTGAGATTTGAAGAGGAGGTGGAGGAGGCGGTTACGGGATGGCGAAGGGAGGGACGACGTGATTTCAGGAGAGGGAGGGAGGGAGAGAGGGAGAAGATGGCGGAGCTCTGCATCGTGGGAGATCTGAGTGAGAAGGCGTTGGAGACTCCGTCGAGTGGGTTGGTGAGAAGGGGGGGGGGGGGGGGG